CTCTGTTCTCACTGTATTTAACTCGGTTCACCTTTGAATTGGTGCAAGGATGGGAGGGGAGACCGCAATTGGGACGAAAGGACGACCTCCTCCAGTCCGACCCTCACCCGCTCGCACCAGTTCAACGGCGTCAACCGAGTCGAACACAGTGAGATAAGGGGACAAAAATAGTCGTTGGAGAAGAGCACGTATATAAACGAGCGGGTACCAGCAGAACACCGCCACTTCACATGCACTGATGATGATATCACCTCGGCTGGTGCGATGAAACGTTTACAAACAAATTGCCAAGCTCGGCGAACAGGCGAAATGGAATTCAGTTCACCCGAGCTACGAGAACCAATTTTCAATAGTTTGTATATATATATATACTATATTACTAATGTATACATCAGTGCACTGCCAGTGACTCATCCAGAATCCACTGTTTAACCTCCCCCCACCTCAGGTTAATCAATAAAGAGAATGTTTCCAACCGAGTCATAACCCTGGAGGCTAGTGCTGAGTTGAGCAGGTTCCGTGGCCCGCAGCAAACTTGCAAAGATGGGTTGTGATATATCGTGTAAATAGAAAATGAAAAACGGTCTGATCAGTTGCCCGGTGGCGTAGTGGATAGCACGCTTGTGTTCTGCCCATGAAGTCCGGGGTTCTATCCCCAATTGGGTCGATGGATTCGCACTGCAGATGAGACCCAATCAGGCCGAAACAGCTGTCCAGTGCTTCCTAGCTTTTCAGTTCACGCTTCATTTGCTATATACACGACAAATTCCCATTTGAAAGTGACCTATGTCAAAAATCCTACTCTTTCTCTCTCTCCACAAGAACGTGCTCATTATAGGGTTCGATCAACTCTGACAGGATCGCGGAAACTCGACACGGAGACTGGTGCATATAGGCATCTTCATCTACGGGGAATTCATCAGTACAACAAAGCGACTCTCGATAATCAAATATTATCGGAATGAGATTGAGCAAAAGGATTAGTAGAGCAATTTAATCTCTATTCACTTGGGAAAATTGAAAATCTTACTTAGGATTGTCAATATTATTCAAAATTATGGATCCTTTGAAATCCCTCCTATACTGATCCCACTCAGAACGGAAGTGGGTGATTGTAAGCTTCCGGAACAAGCCATATCGCATGGGTGAGGGTTGGGTGGCTGCAAGGAAATAATTGACCTCGGGGGGGGGGGATGAGGGAAAGTGATTTACATGGAACGGATCTGTTTTGTTTGTTTGTTTGTTTCTACCGATTGATTATACATTGCCAAAAATAGTAACTTTTAATTACAGCAATGATCAGTAGCAGTTTGGCTGGCTACTCTCTGAAATCGATATCATTGTTTCCGTCGTTTCACATTTGTTTGAAGTGATGTATATTTAGGTTAGTTTGGGAAAGGTTGTGTGTGTGTGCGCGTGTGTATGTGAATGTATTTGTATAACTTGTGCAATCTGATATGCTTACATTTTAGGTAAAAAATGTACACTAATCGTCAAGCGGAGTGAACTATGCAGTTTCGTATAACGTGGAAAGTAAAGAATAGCGCTTATGTNCGCTTATGTGCAAAACTTTTGACGTAGTTCACTTTGGTTTGTTTCTTTTTGATGAGGAGTCGAGCCAAATAGGGTATAGGGGAATTTTTATGAATATCGATACAAAAGTGTAGATGCCGAAAAGAGGAGTGTGTTGACGCATAGGGAACGACAGGACGATAAATCAAGGTACAGTGGATGGAGAGGGTCATCTAGAATCTTACGGGCAAATTTAACACAAGAGTTGATGTGACTATCAATGAGTTTTGTGATTAATGCATCGATCGGAATTAATGATGCACGACTGTGGATCATCAAACCACGGCGAATTGTTTTAAAGACTTGTTTTAAAAGACCGGGAAACACTATAGGGTAGAATGGGTAAAACTTATTGGTGAATGAAAGAGGACAGAACTGACTGCGGTTTTAGTAAGTGCCTAACTGAAAAGTTCGGCGTCTCAGTTTCTTCGTACAATTGTAAATGTGTTTGGAACACCGGAGATTACTATCAACGGTGATACCGAGGTGCTTGATTGAGGTCACACTGGACATGCGTTTTGCAGCTAAGGACAGCAGAGTTCGTTGGAACTGAAGAGCGGGAAAAGTGGAAGATCCAGTCTCTAAGCAAATGGATGTATTGAGACCAAATTGGTTGCTTGTGGGATCGATTTTCAGTGAAACAATCCAATTGCGAAGGAGCTAAAATTTCCTCACACAAAACAACTTCGGCAGCATACTTTTGGATGTGTATTAAGGGGGTGGGATCAAAAGATAGAACAGCATGTTGATGCCCTCCTTTCTAATTGGACCCTATCTGTGAAATAGTCAGAAAGCCATGAGAACGGCTGTCTCATAGTGTCAAAAGAGGTTCAAGACTGAAAAGGGCTACGCAATTTCGATTTGCGTGGGTCGGAAAAGTTTGAGGCTTTCCGAGAGACAGAGAGGTATACAAAAACATAGTTGACGTGGAAGCTCTTTTAGCGCATTTTTATTTTACTATCCCATTCTGAGTGAGATCAACTGAATGCGATGAGGGGCAGGTGGACAGTGGAAATCAAAANATCAAAACTCTTCCAACAAATTTAATGGACACGTTTTGCGTCCGTATCGGAAACAAGCAATGGAATTCCCCTACGATGATCCACTCATCTTTCCTAGTGTAGCGAGAAGGCGAGTTGGTTTGAAAAACGTTTATTGATCCAATTCAAAAACAACCGGTTTACGCGTTCAATTATATACATTCAATTCTTAACCGCACGGCAGGATGATTCATACCTCTTTCTGTTGGTTTTGGTTCGCACTTGACACGTACGTCGCCTCTTCTTCCACGTGCCGTTCCGACTGGGTTCGCTCGATCGTGACGCGAAATACGTTGATCGATAGCTCCAACGTTGTGGCATTCGGCGGATATTTTTCTGGCTAGCTGCGAATTGTCTGTCGGGCTGTAATTGTCGATTCGTTCGTTTCAAGTGGTAGTCAACACTGTCTCTCGAAGTACTTCCAGCCGCTACGTCTGCGCGTCTGGTTGGATGGGCCCCATTCTTGATTCGTTCGCTAGCCGGGGCTCTCTTTGTACCACCTTCCATCATACTAGGTGGGGATTGGATAGTGAAAAATAGCCACTAGGATCGTACAACCCAGCTCTTGAATTGTTGCGGACCGTAAATTTTGCTGACTTTTTAAGTAGACAAGAGTTATTGAGGTTTGTGTACAGATCAACACAAGTGGATAACTATAAATGACGTGCAATGGACTTTTTAGAGTTCCGACGAGAATTTACGGACACCGGGAACTGTGCATAATGCAGTGAGATCTCATTCCATATGCGTTCACTCATTTCGCGCGCGTGTGTGTGTGTGTGCTAATTCGAATAGAATGAAAACGAAACGAAACGTATTAAATTCATGTGACCAGAGCCTCTATGTCTCGGCCGTGGACGACGTATCTCAGGTGTAAGGCTTCGGTTCTCAACCCAAACTTTCGTGATTCGAGTCCCGAATGTAGTGCTCACTACTTGGGGAATCTGAACAGGGGGCAAAGTAGTGGTACTTTGTTAGAAGTCACACAGATTACCGGCGTGCAAATGCTTTACACCTATTGAGCACTTGAAACCTTTTAAAAATTGGCAATATATTAAGGAGGATCAGATTGCATTAGATAAAATAGTGATCTTGCTAACCGTTGCAACAGGTGACTGTGAGTAACGGAATCAACGTAAGCTTGCATAGATTGGCTATGTTGTGCCATACACAGCAAGTAGATGAGTGAATCAATTTCGTCCACCACACAAACGATGATCTGGTAATCAGTTAGTTATTTCAAAAACTCTCTCAGTAGACAGTCGTTAGAGTGATCACATCGGTCTTGTGTTATTGATCATGGTGAGGGGAACCGGGTTTCCTGGTTCAAGTCGTTTAGCTTACCTCTATGCTGAAAACCCCTGGGTACTCCCAATGGCTATCGGGGTTTTTTTCGTGAATCCACGATTCAGTGTGAACGTAAGGCCATTTGCAAATCGTTCATTATTAATATTATTATTATTACTGTTATTATTGCATTAACCTTGCTTCTGTAAATCTCTGCACTTACGCATCTTTTACTGTGCATAAACCTATTTGTAAAATGGATCATCAATGATGTTTGATGACCAGCAAATTATTCTTCACAACAATACATGTCTTGAGTTTATGTTCACAACAGCAATAGGACCTTAGTCATTTTCTCTCGTTCTCTCTCTCTCTGATTGTTATCATTTACGTGATACCATCAGATTCCGTTCCTCCCACACCGACCAAAGTTCGTTCCGCCGTAACTGCCACCCATTTGCCGGAACATGTGGCCATGCTCAAGGCGAACGGTGGTATCGAAATGGCCGAGGAATATGAGAGTTTGGAGACCGGGGTCGGACTGACGTGGAAGAACGCGAATCTGGAAGTGAATCGGCCCAAGAACCGTTATGCCAATGTGGTTGCCTACGATCATTCCCGAGTCTTGCTGAGTCAGATTGGGGACGTAGCCGGATCGGATTATATCAATGCCAATTACATTGACGGATATCAACGTTCGAAGGCGTATATTGCCACTCAGGTTGGTCTAACAAACGGACCCCGTTCCAATTGCTGATGTGATTGAAATATTTACTTCCCCTAGATAAATTTGACCAGAGAGTAAGACAACAAAGTTAGATTGCACGACGATTTCGCTGCATCTCAAATGGAATAAATAGTACGGCAGAAAACAAGGGTTTATATCGTTGAAAAGTATATCAGGCTACACATGAATATCACCGGGCTTAATCATCACATTTTCTAGCACTGTCACGACAGGCCGTTTGTGCGTTCGATGTCCTTGGATAAGGGTGAAGATTGGTAATGGTGTAATATCGTTGAGTGTGTTAACTAATGGTGGATGGGTTTGAGGAGTCAAACTGGAGAATGACCTTTGATCATGTGAATCGGTCAATCGATGTTTTACTCAACATTCGATCTGCTCCCGGATCCGTGTATGCACCTGTCTATCTGTTCTGTCAATGTCGGATACTCCGCATCCACATTCAAACTGATAAATGACGTGTGATTTTGCGGACAGTATTAGTGGTTGCATTGTGGGTGGAATGAGGATGCGTGTGGTTGTGTGTACAGGACCATTGAGTTGGCAGCATTATAAGTGCGTTTTATCACATTATTCAATCGGTCTTGGAAAATCAGGCTAATATCATCGCTTTTGAAGGAAAAGTAAATACAGACCTTCTTATTGGGGCCGTCGTATATTGCTGGTTTTTGCTCCGGCTGTCCGAGTGAACTTCTTAATAAAACTGCCAGGGTAGTCGTTCTCGACAAGAATTGATTGGAGTAGGCTTAACTCCGATTATAAGCTATTCTCGGTGGGTTTACGACGGGGTGCTCGACGGACTAGTGTTTTTACTATCCCGCGCTTGTAGTTGACTGGTGCGAAGCTACAAAAGTGTAGATTTTGATCCGTTCATCTACTCTTGCAACAATACAGTCCTTTGAATCGTTCCGTCTTGCCCCCGTGTCATTTGGATAGCTAAAAATGCGGGGTGATCGTCCTGTTCCTCTTCCAAAAGCTTAAATGTATATTTCTGCGAAAACTGTTCGTGGCTCGAAGAGAGGAAGATGCTTGTTGCCGGTCTGGTCCGATGATTAGTTTATTCTCATCAATGTATCTTCCAAATAATGTGAAATGATCTAAGATATGTGCTACCTCGCTTTCCAACTTCTTGACGAATCAGTTCGCGAGGGCAGGTCCCCAGAGGTTTCCCGTGGCCACACCGTTTATTTTTCGATAAGTTTTGCAGTGCAAACTGAAACTAATATCTGGGGTGCATAGGAACAGGAAGCGTTCCGGCTGTGACAACGCCAGGCCCACTTTTAAGTTACGCTACTAGATGTACTGTAAAGTGTGTTCGATTGTCTCACACATACTCACCCTTACCCAAGGACATCGAAAACACAAACAGCCTAAACTATGAGCCCGCAATTCGTATTGCATTTTGATTGGTGTTTTACTGTTGAAGCATAGACTCTTTCAGTCAGAGCTCCTGGCTGGTAATGCACAGACAAGGTGAAATATCATCCGAGGATCGCAGACAGTGCATTCAACTGCAATTTCTTGTTTCTCAAGTCGATAATCCCGGGGTATACTAATTATACACACAGTTGCTGTTGTCGCGGTTTTGAGTTCATACAAATTGCACAGTAATTTATCGTCTAAAGTGTAATATAGTTCCATAAACATCACGCAGTTGAAACTCACAGAAAGTTCACATTCACATTATGAATAAATGATGCATTTCTATCCATAATTATTATCAAGTTACGGAATATGCCCAATAATTAAGAACACAGTGTAGGCGAACATATGTTTTCGGTGAATTCCTCTTCAAGCCTTTACAATCACATTTATACGAAACAATTTCAATACGGTCAAACAGAAAAGTGGATCATTCATACGTATGGCAATGAGACTAAAGGAACTCAAAATTCGTGCGCAGTTTGGATCACATAACCAAAGTGGTAACGTCATGGTCTTGTGGACAAGCGATTTTCTCTTTCCCTGGTCAGGGGAGTTTGAGAGCTTGAATTGGTTTGCATTGTACGCACAGCTCAGGCTCCATCAGTCGAATGCTAATCGCCTCTGCGGTTGCTAACGTCCGAAATCGTATTGCTCTCGAGGGGTATGGTGAGACTCGATAGATGATTGTAAATGCTGAGCGCATGTCAATCAGGTGTCCCGTCTCTACCATATTAGCAACGATCAAGCTTGACACACCTCCACTCCGACCCTGAGTGAGCCAGCGTGGATTGTGTTCTTTGACCTGTTGAGATAAATTGTCGTTCGACCTACGTAAGTCGCACCACAGGTGTTCCTGAATCGGTAGACAATCATAGATGAGGTCAACATAAGCAGTTTATCTTTGTTGTACCATCGAATGTTTGGTGACGCAGAGAACACACAACTTAGCTGTGCGGCATTGAATGTAGATTTTACTGCTGAGGATAAAACTCTACTGACCCTCTCAGTGGCGGCATCACCTTTGAATGGAAGTTTTGTAAAAAGCACTTTGTTCTCCGCTTTTGGCAATTTTGTTGGCTTATTCTGTTCAGTCCAATTACGGTCGATACACTTCTCAGGATAGCTATTTTCTAGTAAGGTTCTCCTCACTATATGATACTGATATGATATGATATGATATGATACTGGGACAACTTGACATGAAAAAGGTATAGTTCAAGTTCGTCCTTCAAATTATCTTCTGAATAGATGCGCCTTGCTCTCTGCAGTGGACTGCGTATGAGGTTACGTTTTTGATAGAGTGGGACGAAACTATGAAGATTTGTGTGCTGACCTCTCCATGTTGCTTTTTTGATATATCTTTCTTTGGAAAGAGCTGTCGGGACGTCTAGTCAGATGAACATCCAAAAACGGAAGGCAATCGTTCTCTTCTGGTTCAGTTGTGAACTTAGTTGACGAATTTGCATTGTTGAGTCCTGACTCGACTAGATTAGTGTTCTTGTTAGCCACACAAAAGATATCATGTACATAACGGTGATATTGTTCAAAAGACCTAATAGCGTAAAAACTTTGAGTTCTCTTGGACTCATTGCCAAACACATGACTCATCCACTTTTCTGTTTGACCGTAAAGAAATTGTTTCATATAAATGTGATTGTAAAGGCTTGAGAAGGAATCCACCGAAAACATATGTTCGCCTACACTGTGTTCTATGATTAAGTTCTTAGCACTAATAAAAGTTTTGGTAGGTCATGTGTTTCGGTGTTCTGCAAAATTTCTTCATATTTCAGGTTGACATCAATTAGTTTTGATTACTTCAGAGATTTTTGAACTTGACAAGTGGACTATGAAACAGGAAACATTCTCCGTATGTCAAGTTCCGTTTGATCTCGCTTATATTCACCCGCAATCGGATACAGTCTAGTCATGTGTGTGTGTGTTTGTTTTCCGTCTGTACGTTGTATTTCAGGGTCCACTGCCAGAAACATTCTACGACTTTTGGCGTATGGTTTGGGAACAGAACGCCTATGTGATTGTCATGATGACCCGGTTGGAGGAACGTGCTCGAGTTAAATGTGATCAATACTGGCCCACTCGGGGTGTGGACACGTACACTAGTTCGCATCAGTCAAAGATCAATCCGGCACCAATGTACAAGGTCACTCTGAAGGATACCGCGGAATTCGCGTACTACACCTTGCGCACTTTCACCCTAGAACGTCGTCACGACCCGGACAGTGGAATGGATTTGGTCCCGAGCCGGATGAACTCACGCACGGATCTGACCAATGGAACAACACCGTCCGGGGTCGAAAGTCGTGAGATCAAGCAGTTCCAGTTCACCGCGTGGCCGGACTACGGGACACCGGATCATGCACAACCACTCTTACTATTCATTCGACGTGTGACCCAGGTCCGAGCGCACATTCTACATCAACTGCAACAGGAACGTCTAGCCAATGGGGATTCAATTGGGAGCGCACCTCGGGGAACCGGTGTGGATTTGCTCCGAACCAATAGTCCGCAACCGGCCAGTGAAATGGGCCCAACAATTGTGCATTGCTCAGCTGGTGTGGGACGAACAGGTGAGTGTATGGGTGTATGCGAGCTATTGACGGTGACAAAGCTGATGGTTGTTGCTGTGGTGGTGGTGTCCGTAGTCTCCGACCAGTTAAAATCTGTCTCAGTGAGCGGAAAGTCTATGCAGAGGTGCGTACAACACATGAGGCACCTACCTCACTTGTCTGTATCGTTATTGTATTACTATAATTAGGCGGGCATGGAAGGGCTGCTCTGTTTATTCATTCTGCTTATCTCGACACAGCAAATTAGTTTAGGAAGCGCGTAGTAGACAGTCGGTTAAACCGTCTGTCTGTCTGTGGCTTTTCTCTGATTTTAAATCAACAGAGTCTCGACAAGTGAGAATGGCTGACTAACAGTTCTAACTTGCACTTACCTATAGTTCCCGATAGAGTAAACCAAGGAGGAAATACCTATCTGGTTTGAAAATGAATGTATGGTCAGTGTGACGAAGTCAGCCATACTGAGGTCATTGGAAGAGGGCGACAGAGATGAGCAACTTTGGTCAAATATTGAACGGTGTGCTCAACGATTAGGGTGGTGGTGGCCAAGTGGTTTACTTACCAACTTGTGACCTGTGTGTCGAACCACTCCACCGTCGCCCGTCTTCCCAGGCAGCCTGTGTATGGCTGCGCCCCCCCCCTCTTCCTGAATGCTGTCTGTACATTTGTTTTCAATAAATTAAAAGACAAAGACTTTATTGGCTAGGCCACATATCGTGGATGAGTTTGGGACAACTTGCGAGACGAATTGTGCCTAAGGGAACACTGAATCGCCTTCGTGTGGAGCCTAAAGTCACGTGGTCGATGTTCTTGATCCACCAAGGCCGTTCTGCAGTTTTAACTCGGCGCCATCCATTTGTTCTTAACATATTTCCCAACGTGTCTCGTACTATTCTGTACCCGCTTTCTATGCTCTTCAATTTGCGAAGGTGATAAAACACATATTACTGGAAGTGGAATTACGATTACGCTTGAAATGGAATAAAATATGACGGAAAAATTATTCAGATAATCATGTGAACCACGATTGATAATCATAAAAAGTGATTTTACCTTGTTTATCTCAAATATATATTACAACAAAGGCGCAGTTAACATTTGATAATGAGGTTGTGTTTGACTAGACCTAGTCGAACAACAGAATGTTGGATGACTGTGGCGGGACTGCGAACTGGGGAACTACGAGATGATCGATAAACCGTCTTGGTCACAACCACCCATAATGTGCAAGACAGTCAATGTTCAAGGTTCTAACATTCGAAATGCATCCGCGATGAGTTAGATCACCGCAGCCCCTGTATAGATCCTGTTCCAATACAGTATACAATTAGTCATCCACATGACGAAAAGCCATACTTTGCAGATCTTTAGTTTAAACTTGACTGTATGCAGTGAGGATGTGAAAATCGATGAATCAACTCGGCGTACAAACCTCGTTTTTCCTTATCCCTTTGTTTCCAGGTGCATTCATAGTGATCGACTCTCAGCTGGAGCGGTTAAGGCATGAAAAATCGGTGGACATTTACGGCTCTGTCGGTCGAATGCGTAATCAACGCAATTTTATGGTTCAAACCGAGGAGCAGTACACTTTCCTCTATGACGTATTTGTCGAGGCGGTTACCGTGCACGGGACTGAGGTCACTGCGCACGGGTTGTACAATCACGTAGTCAAATTACGTCAAACTGCACCAACAAATCTACTCGTACAGAACAAATCCGTGGCCAATGGATTGCAAGACTCGACAACAACTACAACAACTACAACAGGAAATAAAATGTTGGCCTCGGGTCAATCCGGTTTGGAGCTGGAATTCAATGTGAGTTTTTTGTTCAAAGAAAGTGAATTTCCGTTTGGTGCACATGATATCCCCACTGGAACTGTTTTGCTACGGAACAATAAATTCTTTTCAGACTTCACAGGGATTACTGTCTGATAGCAAATGCTATTTCGTGATATTTGGTGCAACAAAATTCGGCACAAAAACAGTCCTATTGTATTGTTTTCAATTTAAATGAATTCATCTTGATATCATCTCCAAAGTAGTGAATCGTTATGTGATAATTCTGATAACACCAAAGAAGCGAAGTCGGAAGATCATTTATAGTTGTATTGTTTGAATTGATCGTTTTTTTCACTGTATTAATTGTGTTTTTGTGATTGGTCCGTATAAGACTTCAATTTTGCCCGTCGAACAATCTGATTGGTTCAGGGTTATATGTAAACGCCTGTGATTCCCTTCCTAAATGTGATTTGTGTCCAATGGACTAGAAATATATATATATATATATATATATATATATCGTGAGCATTTCCTAAAGAACTGACTTTTGACATGGTGGCAGCGGTGGGATTCGAACCCAAGCCGTTACGGACTGGTGGTTCATGAAAAATCACGGAGGAAATTTCGTTTGTTTTTTATTTCACANCAATGTATAAGGTGAGAATTAAAGGTGTCGCTGAAGTTGAGAACCCCCGAACAGTAATGAGGATAGCGATGACTCGGCTGTTGATGAATGATGATTCACAGTCAAGAAAATTTTTTCATCAATACCAGTTATTTTGTAGCCAAATCGAATTCACAGACACCAGAATCTGCTTACTGATGTAGACCTGCGCTGCAGATATTAGCCGTCTGGCATGTTTACCCCCTGGACGAAGGCTTTAGTTCCG